CATGTAGACTGTAATTAGGCCGAAAACATCATTATATCCATTATGTTGTTTTCTGAAACTGTATCTGGAGTTACGTTTTGTGGTTCTTGTTTACATTGAAAAACCCAACTTGTGCGTAATTTCAAAATTAAGATGATGATTTTTCTAAAGTGACTATTTGTATTCTTTTTTTTATACGATATGTTATTGTGCTTGTGATGTCAAATATACCAAAAATATTTTAGTTAACTTGAAAGCAGCTGTTTTAATAGCTAATGTGCCACAGACTCCTCTCTATAGCCGGTAGTCATTCAGATATTCCAGTATGCAGTATAGAGAGTGTGCCAGAGCGCCGTGAGACATGTTAATATGAGTTGGATTTAATGATGCAGAGGAAAATCTCACATTCACAGATAATCCAGTATGATTAAAGGCGTTAAATATTGACATAGTGACGTGCCTGACACTGTCAAAGCAAAGGGATTTCCCTCTACATGATGCATCATAGTTCATTTCAAAAGACTGTGTTTGTGTGTTTAGAGAACTGTAATTTTGTTTCATTCCTGACAGATTATTCAAAAGTCCTTCATCTCAGTTCAGAGAGGTAAAGCATTGCTGTCTACATTTCATTTTATTACTTTTTAACACTGTGGTATGTTGTTGTTATCAGTGTGCATTATATTTGAATAAATACATATTAATCTAAAAATAGTTTTCAGAATCTTTTCTCAATGCAAATGTATTCCATAATGAATAATTATTTACATAAGCCTGTGAAATATGTTTTGATACGCAGATACAGTAATTTCATTTTAGATTCCACAAAAAATGGTGAATGTTACTCTTTTAAATCTAAGCTTTAACCAAGAAAAAATACATATTTTCTATGATTTAATGTTTTTAGTAGTCTTAAGAACAATGATCTAAAATGCAATTACCTATAGCATAAAATTGTAGTTTTAAAAAGCTCAATTCAAACAAAAGTTATTTGACCCTCTTGAGGTGGATGAACAACATTTTCTGAAGACCTACTTTGACTGACGCTTTGTTAGATTGTAAAAACACTGATCTCACGCTGGCTCTGTTTAATTCCACATGTAAGTTGATGTTGTGTTCTCAGTGCTATGGTAAAGCTGACCTCATTCACTTCACTGCACCTGTTGGATTGCTGGACATCTGCTGCTCACTCAGAGCCTCAGAGACAAAAAGTTATCTACTGACTAGATTATTAGACTCCAAACTTTATGGTTATTACTTTATGATTTTATTAAAGGGGTCATATGATGTTGCTAAAAAGAACATTATTTTGTGTATTTGGTGTAATGAAATGTTTATGCGGTTTAAAGTTCAAAAAACACATTATTTTCCACATACTGTACATTATTGTTTCTCCCCCGCCTTTCTGAAACGCGTCGATTTTTACAAAGCTCATCGGTCTGAAAAGCGAGGTGTGCTCTGATTGGCCAGCTATCCAGTGCGTTGTGATTGGCCGAATACCTCAAGCGTGTGACGGAAATGTTACGCCCCTCACCATATTGTGATGCCTTGTCCCGGCCGGAGCGACGAGACAAAAACATTAAAATCCATAATAATCCCATTATAAACGAGGCATTTGTTGCATCCAGTGGGGAAATAATTACGGATTATAATGACTTATACTGTCTTTTTACGCATTGCATTGCATCGCGCCGCGTAAACATAAAACCATGTCTGCATTTGTGATCGGAGAAACAACAAA